TGTAAAACAGAACACAATATATGGCACGGGAAACACTGTCCCCAGTGTACTGCCATCACATGAGTATTTAGCAAAAAGGGATAACATGAGTGAAAGAGCAGACAACAAACAATTCTTTCAGAAGATTGAAAAAATACTAACAGAATTCTATCATTACTCTTGTCTCTAAAAATCATAAACATTATATAAGAGAAAAGCCTATTCATTGTGAATCTAAATAGAAACTCCAACATGCTTATTTTAGAAGACAAATTCTCAATTACATTTGGCATTCCTGAGGCAAATCTAATTCTATCCATTTATATAGGGACACTCAAACTCTGTTTTGATTTTTTTTCTATGCAAACTATCCAAAGCCACTGGATGATAGCTTTCTTGAAGTATTAACACAGCTAGGCTACAGTGCCCAGTGAGTCCATCAAACACCCATCTAGATAGATGTGTTGTGAAAGTATTTTGCTGATGTACTTAAAGCCTCTAATCAGTTTAAGTAGGGGAGATTATCCCAGATAATCTGAGTGGGCACAACTGAATCCTTCAGAAGGTCTTGGAAACAGGTAAGATTTCCCTAGGAGTGAAAAGAAATTCTACCTATGTACAACAGCTTTGGCTTGTGCTGACACAAGTTCCCTCCTGCTCAGGATCTTCCCTTCCTGTCAGCCTGCCACAGGATTTCAGACTTGCCTAATCAGCCATCACAACCATGCAAAATAATTCCTTATAACAAATTTCTTAATATGTGTATATATTTCTCTGTGTATACATGCCCTACATGTACTTTTTCTCTTAAATTCGATCTGATTCACACCACAGTAAGGAATGTGAATTTAGAAGTAGTCACATTTACCTGAAGAAAATATTTTGTATTTGCAGTTGTATAGGTGGACTTGTCCAATTTTATTTTTTAATTACAATAGGTCAAGAGACTGGTATAATGTTAAAACAAGTGAGTGCTATAACACTAAATCATTTTGTTACAAGAATTACTCTTTTCTTTAGGAGTCAACATTAGAAAGGACCATTCATTTATTTCTCTAGTCCACAAAGAATATAAGTGGAAATACTTCATGATATAACCTAAATCTTTTCATCCTGGAAATTCTTACATAAGAAGTACTATGAAATGCATAGAATACTAAGAATTTTCTTTGGTTTAATGAAAATCTATTAATGATTAATCTACTAATAATTATAAAATAGTTTGTTTTAATATTTGCACTTAAAAGATTGCTCAATGTCCTTTAGAAATGAATTCTATATGCTGAATTAAAATGTGGTGAAATAATTTTATCAGTTAAGGAGCCACTCAAAGGGCAAGCCAGTGTAAGCACAACCACATAAAAGATAGCTGGAAACAAAGACTAAAATGATTTCAACTAGCAGTACAGAACCTTACCCGAAAGAACATAGACTGATTTTATCCAAAAGCAGGTTAACTAAGAAATACAGTGTCACTGGCTGTTCTTTAATTCTGATCAAGCAAAATCCCCAGCAAGCCCCAGCAGTAGCAAGAACAGCAGAAGCAATTTACTCTAGTATAAGACTGTAGCCTTACATATCACTCACTTTCCCAGGAAGTCCCAAACAAACCCCCCAGGTGGTGCAGGGACAGAAACCTGGTGTGGAGGGTACAATTTGCGGGAGACTGGCTTTCTGAGAAACAGCATGGCCAATGGTAGAGGGAACACACACATACAAACAAAAAGACACAAAACCCCCAATGGAACAGGACCATGGTAAGACAAATCAAAAGAAAGGTGAAGAAACTCAAAATGATAAAACACAGGGAGACAGACACCCATACATACACACAGGAAACAATGGAATGGCAACACAAGAAGCAAATGGTTAGTAAGAAACACAGCCGCCACACACATGCACCTCAGTACTAAATCTAGGAACAAATATGTGACATAATCTCAGCTGTCTTTAACATAAAATGCACTGAATAACTCCTCAAACAAGCACAGTTCAGTTTATAAAAAATGGCCTTCAAGGAGCTGGGGTTGTGGCTCAGTGGTAGAGCACTTGCCTAGCATGTGTGAGGCACTGGGTTCAATTCTCAGCATCACATATAAGCAAATAAATAAATAAAGGTCTATCAACAACTAATAAAAATATTTTTAAAAAGTCAACACATCTTTAAAAAATGGCCTTCAAAAGCTAAGAAAAATTAAAATATACCTTAGTTTTTAAGTAAGTCATAATCCTATCTATAGCCACTTTTGCTTAAGACATTGGTTCAACAATGAGCAAAAAATAAATCCCATCGAGGTAGGAAGTGTTTTACAGTTGCCAGTAAGTCCAAAAAGAACATAATTAATCTTGTTGAAATAGAAAGAAAATTGAGCTGGAATTTAAAACCCCATTCTATTAGCTCCAGCTCAACCACTGTTTAATTTCAGGAGTAATTTCTTTGGCTCCTGGTTTCTTCTTCATAAAATGCCATAATAGAGGGGCTGGGAGTGTGGCTCAGTGATAAAGCGCTCACCTAGCACGTGCGAGGCCCTGGGTTAGATCCTCAAAACCATATAATAAATAAATAAATAAGTAAGTAAATAAATAAGTAATTTGGTTTGCAAGGGGGGTGGGGAATGCCATAGTAGATCTCTTTCACAAATTCTGTGGTGCTACTGTTTATTCAATACCTCAAACTATGTTTCTGAGTAACAAACTACAAAGCTGATAGCAAAAACTGAGTTGGAGAAAATGTTGCATTTGTTTGTTTGGGTTTTTTTTGGTGTGAAGTTTTATTTTATTTTCTGATAGGCAAAAATCTTTGTCTCAAATCCTCAAACAAAATTACAGGTGCATGAGCAGAGAGGCTAGAACTATGCTTTTTCCAATACACTAAAAGTTACACAGGTCATGTATAACTCTTTCTTACAAAGTGAAAAACAAAGTCACTATTAAAAGCAGCTATTTGGTGTATTTTGGATACAAGATATAGACTTAGTTCTGTTTCTTATTCTCCCTCACATTATGTCCATGTCCCAAAATCAGTATAAGTCCCAAAATGCAATAATATTCTTCAAGCAAGCTTCATGGAATAGCAAGCAATATTTTCAAAATGTAGATTTTTTCTTCTTTTTTAAAAAACATACATATTTTTAATAACTTTATTTATTTACTTTTTATGTGGTGCTGAGGTTCAAACCCAGTGTCTCACCCATGCCAGTTAAGTACTCTACCACTGAGCTATAGCCCCAGCCCCACTTTTTCTTTTCTGAATGTGGTACTGAAGATTGAACTTCAGCACTCATGAATATTAGGCACTCCTCTACCCTAGACTACATCCCCAGTCTTTTTTCTTTTTGAGACAGGGTCTCACCAAGTTGCCAATGTAGGCCTTGAATTTGAATCCTGTGTCAGCCTCCTAAGTAGCTAAGTTTATGAGCAATGGACCACCTCACTCAGCTTCAAATGCAGATTTCCAATATAAAAAATCACATTTAAAAATGAAATATTCTCAAGCAACTTCTGAAATACATTTAATGAGATGTCAGTAATCAGTCAAAAGTATCATATTTTAATGTTTATGCAGTACTGCTGCTGATTTCAGGCCCATTAAAAAAGCAAAAGGAGGTATAGATTCAGATATGTATTCATGTAAATATATAAGAGTGTGTGTCTGTGTATATACATGAGGCATGCTCACATGCTGGAGAAGGAACACAGTGCAAAGATTAATGTGAATAAAAATGCACAGGGGCTAGAGTTGTAACTGAGTGGTAGAGTGCTTGCCTAGCAAGAGTGAGGTATGGGGTTTGATGACCCTCAACACCACATTTAAAAATAAATAAATAAATAAAATTGATATTTTTAGAAAAACAAATAAATAAAAATGCATACAGTCTACAATCAAGAGTTCTTAGTTTTAAATTTTTGATTTAAAGACTTATATCCATTTGTCTTATCCAGAACTAGAGAAAATGAATAGAAATAATACCAAAATAAGAGAAAACGTGCCAGCAGGTCAAAAGCCCATATTATTCACATTTTCATACAGTGTAAAACTATGAGGGTTGGAGTTTATTGCTTTGGTTTCTTGAAAATCAAAATTATATAGGTAGAAAGGGAGGAAATAATAACTTCAGAGGAAAATAACAAGCCTACCAATAACCACCCCCAAAATTTAAAACTCAGTAAATAAATTATGAAAGTAATCTAAAACTTCCCAGCCATCAAGAACATAAAAATAAATTATTCTTAAGAACCAGCCCTCAAGAAGTCACATAGCTTAGTGACTTCATTTTGTCACTGTCAGTCTTTCTGGCTGTTTAGAAGAACACAGGTAATCAATTGCTACTGGAAGAGCTGTCTCAATGCACTTGTGAGTTCATGTTAAATACATGGTATGAAAGAAGAGATTAACAGGCATATACTTGGTCTTCAGTATAAAGTAATTTAAAAAAGACAAAATTCTAAGAGAAATATCTGGCAGGATCTGTTCAAATAGCCCATTTTGAAGAATTCAAATTCAGGCCCCATAAAAATCACATCTGCGTCTCCAAAATTATCCTAAAATGTCATGCTTCATTGACTGATGTAAGAATTTGCTTCTCCACAACCTAGTCAAAAATTCACAACCCCAAAGAGCATCTGATCAGCCAAAAGGGTCTAAACCAATGATACAATATTAACTCCTTATACAGGAGGACCATTTGCTTATTATCTAGAACAATAAATAATAAAAAGCAAGTAGTTATTTGTACTCTATCTTAATCAGTCAGTTGAAAACTTTAATTTTTCAATTAATGAATACTTTCTCTTTTGTTTAAGGTCAACAGTTTCTCAGTTTACTCCCTTTCTATGTTGCCTTTTAGAGAATGCAACAAAGAATTTGTACTGATTTAGAATAATAAGTAGATAATAAAATATTAACAAGCATTCAAGACCCTAAACTCAGAGGCACACAATACTGAAACAAGTATGCCCTCAAAAATACATACTTTACTTTTTCTAACCCAGGGAGTCCCATTCAATTTCCCTCTCCTTACCTTTCTAATTCAGCTATCTTCTTATCTTTGTCATTCTTCTCATTTTCCACTTCCTTCAAGATTTCCAAAAGGCGGTCTACTTCTGCCTGGGCCTTGCTAGATTCATCTTTGTACCTGGCAATCTCTCTCTCCAACTGCTGAATTCGGTCATTCATCTCTGGACTGGCTCTAGCTTCCAATGTTGCTTCATGTGCCTACAAAAAAAAAAAAAAAAGAAAGAAAATGAAGAAGTGTTCCAAGTCTGTAAGATACACATAAAGTGAAACTGGCTGGGTAAACCATGGGTCAAAGAACTATTTATATTCAATTTAAACATAGTATTATCAAATATATAAAGGATTAATATTTAAAGTAATTGCCTTAAATTACAAATGGATTTTTAAAAAATATTATACCTCTGAATTTTATTAGGCCAAAAATCACCAAAAGCCAACTGATATTTCAGAGAGTAGTAAGATATACTAATAAACCAAAAGACTGCTATTGATCTTGCCAAACAGTATCAAAAGGTACCACCAGGATTCACTGCTAATTGACAGATAGCACCATTGCTGAGACCTAATGTCCCATTAGTTATTTCCATTTCCTTCTCCCATATGCTGCTTTACCAAATGTGTGAATCACAAGACTCTGGGCACCCAGAATTATGTAGATACTTTAAGAATGTATTGAGTCCCTTAAAATGTTTTGAAAAATATATTAAAAGGTCAAAGGTATATTCTTAGAAAATTCTTTGAAAAGCTCTAATGCAAACTACCATTAGTAAATGAGAAATGTTTGTATAAACTAAATGCTTTGTTATAAATCTAAGATTAAATTCTTGCCAGGTAAGGTGGCACATGCCTGTAATCACAGCTACTCAGGAGGTTGAGGCAGGAGGATTTCGAGTTTGAGGCCAGTCTGGGCAACTAAATAAACTGTCTCAAATTAAAATTTTTAAAAGGAGGGTGGTTGGGAACTTGGGGGTGTAGTTCAGCAGTGGACTGCTTCCCCAGCATGTGTGAGGCCCCAGGTTTAATTCCAGTGCCAGAAAATAACAAACAAACAAACAACAAAAAAAAAAGAACCCTTATTTAACCTCCTCCTACACACAAGCATTAAATCTTTGTTTCAGTACTGGGGATTGAATCCAGGGGAGCTCTAACACTCAGCAATATCCCCATACCTTTTTTATTTTCAAATTTGAGGCAGGGTTCTCACTAAATTGCCCAGGCTGGCCTTGAACTTGTGATCCTCCTGCCTCAACCCCCCAAGTAGCTAGGATTATAGGTATGTAGCACTGCATCTGGCTCCATTAAATCTTTTACCAAGTTCATTTATTTAAGGCTTAATTCCTGATGAAAAAGTACTTATCTATCCAAACACTGGCTTTTTTAGGGTTGTGGATGTGGCTCATTGGTAGTATGCTTGCCTAACATGCTCAAGGCCATAGGTTCAATCCTTAAGCACCAAAAAATAAAAAATACATCATAAATGGCTTCCCTCATCTTTAACTAACTTAGGAAGTATACTTTAAAGAATAAAAACTACAAGTTCAGAAGGTAAAAGGACATCACTGTTCTGCACTGGATTTTCTCCAATATCTAAAAATCAGTTATTTCACACTGTTTTGCTAGTTTGTTAAGAGGAAAGTTCCTATAGCAATTAGTCTTTTAAGGGGAGGATAAGGCTACAAAAACTTTTCAAATATGATTATGTCTAACAGAAAATAGAGGAGGAAGTATAAAGAGTAACAGGATCAGGAGCTATTCTGTAGAAAGCTGACCATATTTATATACCAAAAAGGGAGAATCAATAAAAAGAAAAAGACCAAAGATGCAAAGAAATGCAGGAATAACTGAGGAAGGACACAATGAAATAGGCGACAGTAAGGGGCACAAAAGACTGTAGAAACAAACATGAAGGTCTGCTGCTATTCAATACTATTAAGACAACTCTGACTTATAATCACTTATTATAAATGTTTTATTTATAATTCTGCCAATGTAACATCGTGCACATCAGTGTTCTAGGCCTTCATACATGCTGAAGTGCCCTAACTCTGAGGTCTCAGCTTAGTAAATGTCTCCTCTGTTAAGGAGGTCCTCTGTGACCCTAATCTAGATTTGATGTACACTCCATCACACCCTGTGATTTACTACAACTACCTGTGTGAGTATCTATTTTCCCTGATAGAGAATATACATTCTATGAAACCAAGGGTGCAGGTAATCTTGTTTGTATCCTCAGTCCCACCATGAAAACTGACCTAGTGTAGAAACTCAACAACTTGTTGAACAAATGAATATGCACAAGCAGTGAAAGAGTTTTGCTTGATTTAAAACAGTTCATAGAATTAAGTGGTAGGAAAAGAAGAAGAATTGGGAAGAGGATAAAAGTAATCAATTATATAAGTGTAATGTTAAATGTAGCCTACAGGATGATCCAATTACCAACTTTAAAGAAAAGTCAATTAAGTTAGGGGGGAAGAATCAAAAATATATTAACCTTCCCTTACTAATTATAACAAATTCTGTATCAGAGAAGTTTACATCCAAATTCTTGCTGGGTTCATTTGGACGTTAAAATGAAATTCTAAGAATATTAAACATCTTTAAAGACCTTTGCAACTTTATTTTTTTAAAAAATATAAACTCTAAAAAAGATATTTTCCAAAAGTTTTATAAACATTTCTTTAAAACAAACTTCTAAATAGTAGAATGACATTTAATTCAAGATGCAAACATCTCTTATGTCCACAGAGTTCTTCTCAAAGCAACAGTTAGAAAAATATTTTCTGGATGTTTAATTTCATGGCGTCATTCCCCTCACTGCTTTTCTAACCCTTTAAATTTTAATTGTCTGTTAAACTGTGTTTTGAAATGTGTATATTTTACATGTTCTACTTCTAGAATATCAGGAAGTCAAAATCACCCGGAAGCAAAAGCTGCAAACTTCAGTGAAATAACAGTACTATATAAAACGTCACCTCTGGACAAGAAAAACTAAACCATGAACAATCCTTTTCAAAAATCCTTAATCAGGTTAAGCTCTCTGTTCTCAAGTGCTGATCTACTGGTAACTGCCTACCTTTCACATTATTAAAAACCTCAATACACATACACTGGATCACATTATTAAAACCTCAATACACATACACTGGAGGCAAGGATTTCGTTCTTTTGTATTTCATATGTCGTACTAAAATATACACAATTATAGAATCAAGCAGATAACCAAATCCTTATTTTCAAAGTATAAATTATTTAATGAGGAAGTAAAGGTTAAGAAGGGGATCTTATTCAATAAACAACAAAACATATATGGTGCCTTAGAATTATTTAAAAATACATAGTAAAAAGATAAATACATATACTGAGGAAAGCTCTGGTGCAAAGTAGCTTCAATAAAAGACATTTATGTAAATTGATTTAAATTCTTTAAGGAAGTAACAGCTATTCTTTTAAAATTATGTCCTTTACCAATTTCTTTTGTGTCAGGTTCCTTCAGTGGTGAGAATTCAGTTTCTAAACATGGCCTTTAAAGGAGATTCTACTGGCAGATAGGATTTTAATGTGTTAGCAAAATTCTATCCCCCAAAGTGGTGTGGTTAAAAGCCACAAATGATTTTACTTAAAAGCAAAGGGAAAGAGAAGCAGCCCTGAATGAATTAACCCACTGAGAACAACAACAACAACAACAAACAAACAACAACAAAAAAAAAAACAGGGAGAAAGCAGCAGAATAGAAACCTCTCCCAAAGTTTAGGGGAGAATTTTCCTCTTTAAAAACTTTTAATTCAAGATATAAACATATCTTATCTCCAAGAATCTGAACTTACCCTAATATATATCAGAATGAGTTTTGTGGGGGTTTTTGTTTTGGTTTGGTTTTTGTTTTTTTAAATTCTTAAGTTTCTATATAAGCAAGGTAAAGACAGAAGGTCAAGTACACTCAATTTTCCACTTGGAAAATTGTGCAAAAATATATGAACCACATCTGTATATGGCTTTGCCAGGTCACTTAATGGCTTGGATTAGTGTTCCAATACCATTTCTAGATACTAAAGGGAGTCAGAAGAGTTGAAGGAAAAAAATTAAGAAAAACAGAAGGAAATGGTTTAAGAATAGAATAAGCAAAAAAAGAATAAAAGGTTAAAAAATGTGGTTTTTGAAAAAAAGCTTTAATTAAAAACTCAAGAGCCTAGAAACGGGTATTTAAAAGAATTTGGCATTTTAAGAAGTTCTCATAACTCAAAAGCTAAATTTCAGAGTTGGGGATATAGCTCAGTTGGTAGAATGCGAGTCTCGCATGCACAAAGCCCTGGGTTCAATCCCAGCACCACAAAAAAAGAGAGAGAGGAAAAAAAAGCTGAATTTCAATCCTTTCCTTAATAATGCTGAAGTTATCAGCTCATGCTGATGGCAAAGAATACCAAAATTCAGGTACAGGTTAAATTACCAAGGACAGACATTTCCTACTTCAAAAATTTCAATTGTAAGAAGTCTTTTGAATAAATATAAATTAGAACACTAATCTTATACCAGTTACGGTTTTCAGAAAGAAGAAAATATGCCAAACAGGATACATCTACAATTTTGTACTATTATCTACAAATAAGCTATAAAGCAAAAAATCCTTGCTACTATGGAAGATATAACAGAATTTTAGGTCTTATAACCTGCTAAAATAATTTTAAATTATACCAAATTTAAAAACTTAATGACACTACTTACCCTATTTTTAAATATAGTAATGCCATGGAATTAGAAACTTTTAGAAGGAGGTAAAATCAGAAATAATATTTAACAATTGTTTTGAGTCCCACATTTTACTGCCTTAAATCTCAATCTTAAATTAGGAAACATGCGCTCATTTATTCTCAGAAAGACTCTTTTTTTAAAAAAGTGAAAGCTTTTTTTTTCTTGCCAATTTCCAATATAAATTAATAAGAGCTTAAAAACCCTTTGCTAATAATGTGGGAAGATACTTGAGTTCATTTGAAATTTTGCAGAAAAAAAAAGCTGTATAAAACTGGCATATTGTTGATTCACAGACATCTATTCTCAAATTCCTACGGATAGTTCACTTACTAATTTCATGATAAAATCTACTCTCAAATTCCTATGGATAGTTCACTTACTAATTTCATAAATATTTATGTATTAATTTTAAAAATGTGATTTCCAGATATAACCAATAAGCTACATTTTTG